TTATACTTGCAATATTGGAAAGGTGGAGACCCGAGACATACACATTTCATCTACCAATAGGTGAATGTACCATCACACTAGAGGACGTGTACATGTTATTGGGTTTTCCTGTCGATGGTAAGGCGGTTAATGAGTCGGTTCAAAAGCCCAATTCTCTATGCGAGGAATTATTGAGCAAAGATATGGTTGAAGGTGGTGCTAGAGGCCAAGGTATATTACTTACTGAACTAAAAAAACATTATGCGACTCTGGAGTTGAACGAAAATTCCTCCGAGCTAGCAAGAGTAATAAAAGCTAGAAATTATTTGATGATACTATTTGGAACCTTTTTATTTCCCGAAAGTAAGAGGAATAGTTTAAATTTTATGTATTTAAATTTACTTAGGAACTTTGAAAAAACTAGAAAGTATAGTTGGGGTTCTGCTGTTTTAGCCCATCTATACAGTTCTTTATATAAAAATGCAACTAAGGGAAAATGTACTTTTTATGGATGTACTTTCTTACTCCAAGCCAGGGGTTGGTGGAGAATGGAGTCCCTAAACCCCGTCAACAACAATGCATTCGTGTTCCCATACGCAACAAAGTAAGTCAAGAACTTAAATCATTTTTTATCCATTTGTTCTCCAAATATATGTTAAAAATAAACTATTTTACAATTCTTTTAGGTACTGCGTGACGGGTATGGATTACGGCAAGAATCCAAGATTCAATGTCGCTCTATATCGTAATCTATTGGATCACCTTGGTCCGGATGATGTACGCCATACCTTTGAACTTTTCTACTTTTAAATTATTTATTTATTACGTTTTCATTATGCTGATTTAATTTTATCCATAGTTTATCTGGAGACCATATTTAGGTTTGGACCATGAACCAAACCCCAAGGATGCAGCAGTTTGGACTGCAAAGACTGCAATCATATGGTTCAACATTGTGGAGATGCACCACAGCGACCGTGTCAAGATGCAGTTCGGAATGCATCAAGAGATACCCTGTAATCCAACTTGTTTGTCCCCCTGGAATCTCAAAAGGGTCGACGCCCAATGAGGTCTTACTAATTGGAAAGATTTTACTCAAGATGCAGTTCAGAATGCATCAAGAGATACCCTGCGATCCAACTTGTTTGTCATCCTGGCATCTAAAAAGGGTCGAAGCCTAATGGGGTCTTACTAATTGGAAAGATTTTGCTCCATAATAGTGTAACATGTGGCATAGGCGTCACCAACATGTCTTGTAATTCCCCATTTTCCTCAACTGAAGTAATATGCGACACATGGATCAATATTTAGCTTGGTACAGATCGATTAGTAACCCAGAAATGCACGTGTCTCATCCGAGGTATTTGGTTAACCCACGAACATAATGGACACAACCCTCAAATCCCCAACAACAAACCCAACACATATCAACCTCCCACCAACCACCCCGATGATACAGATCCACAACCATCAAACCACAATCACCACCACAATATGAATACACCCATATGCCCCACACCCAACCACAATCACCACCTCAATACCAATACCCCCATATGCCCCACACCCAACCACAATCTCAATCACAATACTAATACACTCGCATGCCCCACACACAATTCCAGTCTTCTCCATATTCCAATATGGGCCCCTCAACATCTAACCTTAGCCTTGATCTGGGATTTTCCGAAGAATATGACCCAACCGACCCAACTTACCATCAACCACCACATCACTATAACACTCAACAGTCGCAATACCAAACACCCCCAAGATCCATTTCCTTTCTACCCCCTTACTCAGGCGACCAGTGTTATAGACCATCCATGGAACCCCACCCACCACCAAGACGATGTACCAAAGCGGATCTTCCAGATATGGTGATCTGACCGATTTCATGGATCCTGAACGCATTGACTTCGTTGGGCCATCGATCCTGTCACAACAGGAAATACAACGAAATCCACCACGAGACAGGCGAGGACGCAGATGCGGAACCACGGGTCGTTACCGAGTTCCGGGGGACCACTAATTATTTGCTATGTTTTTTTATTGTGTAATCGTTTTTTATAAATGAAAAGTCGAATTTTCGTGAAGCTATATCGTTTACCTAATGTCTCGCATTTAAAATAAAAAACAAAAAAATTACACAACTATTGCACTTAGACGCCATCTCAAATGGCTTAAGACAACCATTTAGAACTTAGACGTCAAGTGAGATGACACCTTCCCTTTATTTTCAGGTGCATACGTCAACTGAGTTGATTTCTCTTTTGTGAGATTTTCTAAAACATAATTATTTATGTAATTTTCTCCAAAATATAATTATTTATGTTTTTTTTAATATCTAATTATTGCAAAAATAAAATCTAAATAATGGGTGTGTATAACAAAATATACAATTGCAAAGCACGTGTAAGTTATATCCCCAATTCAAAATTTAAAGCATCCAATGTTAATTTAATATTTTTATTCAAAGGTGCATGCATATCATATGTAAATGTAACTGACACGCTTTTGTAATTATTCACACAAAAAAATGTTACTCATTGAGTCAAAAAAAAAAATTAAAGACATAATTGATAAATAAATAAATAATTAATCACTTAAACTTAGACTCTCTAAATTCCTTTTTAATTTTTTGTTTTTGTTTTTAGTGTTTATTGCAACATTTACTAGTCAATAATATAATTATTTATTAGAAAAAGTGGGGTGGAATAATATTTCGTTAAGAATTCTCTTGAAATTGTTTTTATTTATAATGATTAACAAAATTTATTATTTATTTAAGTGCATAAAGAATAACGTAAAATTGATTCTCAAATATCCAAAAGATTCCTTAAGTTTTGAATAATTTAAAATCAATCAGTAATAAATTATAAAATAATAAAAATCAATTTTAAGAGTGTAATAATATACACCAACATGTGATAAGACGAAATACCCATCCTCATTAATTAGTTGTCAGTGTAAAATTATGTTACATTTATCCTGTATATCTTTTTTCTCCAATTTTAAAAATCTTCATCAATTAATTTAGATCCAACGGTCGAGATGAAAAACTAAACATTAAATAAATCAATTTTCATAGTTTGATTGGGACCATATTAGGTAAAAAAGAAACTCCTAAGAAAGTTCCTAATGGCAAATTCCAAAGACAACAGAAGTTGAATATTCTGAACTTTGTCACATGAATATGACATCATTACAAAACGCGTTTCAGTTTTTCTTCTTCTTTTGTTTCATTTAAATAACACTTTCCTTAACCCTTGTCTCTCATTCTGTCATTCATCTTCTTCTCTTTTCTAAATCCCTAACTTCTTCTTTCAATCACTATAATCTTCTTTTAGTCTAAGGTTTTATTGTTAGTGATGTTCTTTCTCTCTAAATCATCTCTTTTTGTTTTCATCTTGTTCTCATGTTTTTTTCTTCTCTTTCAAGTTAATGCTGTTAGATCTATACCCAACAAAATCAGAAACAAAGTCAATGAATTTGAGTCCAAAGATGATACCTTTGTGATATTCAAAGAGGCCCCGGAATATCGAAACCAACAAAAATGCCAAGTGGTTGATAGAAAAATTGATTCTCCTATTGATCAATTTGTGTGTGATTCTTCACTTGTTCATGTTTCAATGACTATTGATTGGGATTACTTGAGAGGCTCTATGGCTGCTATTCATTCTGTTCTTAAACACACTTCATGTCCTAAGAATCTGTTCTTTCATTTCATTGCATCAGATTCAAGGTTGGTGAAAAAAGATGAGTTTGATTGGATTGTTCATAGTTCGTTTCCTTCATTGAGATTCAAAGTTTATATTTTCAATGAAAGTTTAGTCGAGAATCTGATATCTCCTTCTATAAGACAAGCGTTAGAGAATCCTTTGAATTATGCGAGGAGTTATTTAGCTGATTTGCTTGAAGAATGTGTTGAGAGAGTTATATATTTGGATTCTGATGTTATAGTTGTTGATGATATTCAAGAACTATGGAAAGTTTCGTTGAGTGATTCGAAGGTGATTGGTGCACCGGAGTATTGTCATGCGAATTTCACTAGGTATTTCAGCTATGAGTTTTGGTCGAGTAAAGAATTTTCTGAAGAATTTAAGGGAAGAAAATCGAGGCCATGTTATTTCAACACGGGTGTGATGGTAATGGATTTGGTGAAATGGAGAGAAGGTGAATACACGAAGAAGATTGAGAAGTGGATGGAGATTCAGAGGGAGAGAAGGGTTTATAAACTGGGATCATTGCCTCCTTTTCTGATGGTTTTTGGTGGTGAGGTTGAAGCTATTGATCATAGATGGAATCAACATGGTCTTGGTGGTGATAATGTTGTGGATAGCTGTAGGAGTTTGCATTCTGGACCTGTTAGTTTGTTGCATTGGAGTGGTAAAGGGAAGCCATGGAGAAGACTTGATGCAAAGAAACCTTGTTCTGTTGATTTTTTGTGGAAGCCTTATGATTTATATGTTCCTCATTTCAGATATGAAGGAAAGTAGAATTTTATTGATTCATTTATAAGTGAAAAAATTCTTTTATTTGAGTGTATAGACATAAACCAAAGATTTTTTTGGCGATACATTACAATTTTAGTCTTTTTTTTTTTTTATATCTTTTTCATGTTTTAGACATACAATCTATTATAATTATTTGTTTCATTTTATCATGTTATGATGTTATTTCTTAGAACATGTTTACTATGTCATTTTATTGATGACAGTTTGCAGCTGCAGTTGAACTTGGATTTCAATCATAATGGTCTCCAACTTTGACTCACAAGAACTATTTTAATAGCCTCTAATTTTGACAATTACATGGATGGTTATGAATTTGACTTGTTTTTTTTTTTTAACATACCTAAGTTGTTAACCACAGATAGCATTGTGAAGCACCGATCCCTAAAATGCTATAGGGGTATAGCAGAATTGTGCAAAGACTAAAAACCAGTGTCCAAAGTAAGCATTTATACTTCAAAAACATAGAAAAATACATAAAATTAAAGAGACCAACATTTTTACAGAATGTATTTCAGAGCCTGGGCGGCAAATCTAGAAAGACTCCGGCACCAGCAAGTATTCGAATCGCTGAATCCTGAACCAGAAACAACCTTCTTATTTTTTCCATGTTTTTCTCCAAAGGTGTTTCACATTCCGACACACCATCCGCACAAGACATTTTCAGATTCCTCGTCAAGGACATCCTGTACTCTGCATTCCAGAGCGTGTACCTACAAAAACAACCAATTCAAAATTTATCAATTTCACACACAAAACTTCAACTATGCAGACAAAACCAGATACCTAACAGTTACAGCTATGCAAACATTAGTTAATAATAAAAACATAATTGGTAAAAACTAAACTATGTTACTCAAAATTCATAAAGTATTCATAGTTAGAAATAAAAGTCATAAAGTTTTAAGCAAAACATACTTGCAAATTCTAGCTGAACTAAGATTACAATTGTCTGAGAATGAGGATGAATAAGAGGTGAATTCAATTCAGTATAGGAGGTTGATTGGATCTTTGCATTACTTGTGTAATACATGACCGGATTTGATATTTAGTGTCGATATTGTGAATAGATTTATAGAGAGATCAAGGGTGTCTCACTTGACAGCAGTCAAGAGGATTCTAAGATAAGTCAAAGGATCTATTTGCTGCGGAATTCTCTTTCCCGCAACACACATGGGCTGAAAATGCAATTTACTCGGTTTTACTGAGTCTAATTGATGCTGAGATAAATATGATCGAAAGTCTACAGTTGTATACATCTTTATATTCGATAGAACACTAATCTCATGGTTTTTGAAGAAGGAACTGGTAGTAGCACTTTCGTCTTGTGACGCCGAGTATGTTGCCGCTTCGTTGTGTGCGTGCCAAGTCGTGTGGTTGATGAATCTATTGAAGGAACTGAGCAGCGATGAGGGTGACGTTGTAATGCTCATGGTTGATAACGTTTCCGCTGTTAATCTTGTTAAGAACCCAATTGCACATGGGAGGAACAAACATATTGAGACGAGGTTTCACTACTAAGAGAACTTGTTAGTGAAGGTATGTTGAGATTGGAATATTGTAGAAGTGAAGACCAAGTGTCTGATTTACTGACCAATGGAGTCACAATTGAAGTGTTCAAAAGATTGAAGATGAACATGGACATGAAAGACTTGGAGAACTTGAATTAAGGTGGTGTTTAAGAGTTTTTGATAATTAAAGTTGATGTTACAGGGGAATACGGAATGTAATCGGTTACAGATGTCAAAATAAGTCAATAAACTGCAAAAAAGAGTTTTTGAAGATAGTGTAACTGGTTATGCATTCGAACTAACCGGTTACCATTGTTAGTGTTTGTCAAAATTGTAACAGTTGTAACCAGTTATAAGATTTGTATAATCAATTATAGATCCGAGATTTTTGAATTTCTATTATTTAAATTATGTTGCTTGCGTCTCAATCCATTTGTATTGTTTGTATGAATGCCTTGGAGACATCCTCATTAATGTTAATGAAAAATCATATTCTCACCCTCAATTCTCTCTATAATTCTCCTCTATCTCTCTTTAATTCTCTATATTCAAACCTCCATTTTCACCCCAAAAAAAAAGTGATTTCAAATTCTAACATTTATTATGTCATTTTATTATTGAAAGTTTGCAGCTGCAGTTCAAGATAGATTTCAATCATAATGGTCTCCAACTTTGACTCTCAAGAACTATTTTAATAGCCTCTAATTTTGACAATTACATGGATGGTTACGAATTTGACTTGTTTTTTGTTTTAACATATATATGTAAGAAATTTTTCTTAAACATCTGAACTGTTACATTTTAATAGTTCCTTTATAGTTGTTGTTTTACAATATTGCCACAAATAACATATAGTGATTTGTTCAAGTGACTGATAAAATATTTTTCATGCTTAAACAAATAGAAGAAACTCGACGACTGGTCTTCTCAAACCTAGAATATTGTTTTGTCATGTAGTAATTTTTGTGTTCCATCCTATCCACGTGTCTCTGGCCAAGGGGTTGGTGTTTTCCTCATCATTGAACTGAGATTTTCCGGTAAGTCGCTTTCTGTTTGTATAAGTTGTTCTTTTTGTAGTCGTCTAGTGCTCTCTAATGTCTTCTCTTATACCTTCTTTCGGAAGAACTTTTTATTCTCTAAGCCATAGCTGCTATTCAACGACACAAGAAAGTTATTATATAACTTAGATAATTTAGTACCAGGTTCTTAAAATGTGATATGATTTCATGCTTAGCATGATGAATCAAGAAAGGCTTAACAGTAAGGATTGGCAGTGATTACTCCTTCACATATTTCCAGTTTTACATAGAACTGATATCATAGAAAAAAAATTATATGGATTTGGGGGTTGAAGAGAAAAAGAATATACAAGGCTTCCACCGGTATTCTCTATAAAAGTCCAACAACACAGGTTAAATGCAATCTGTTTTCCAATCCTCTTAAGTGATGACCCAATAACATACACCTGCAAATCGAAAGAAGGAACACATCAACATGATTCAACACAGTAAATAACTTTACTGATTATTGGAGCATCGGTAATGAGATTTACTAACCAGAAAAGCAACTTTGCTAGGTAATCGCGAGAAGTAGCTACTGTATCACCAAACTCATCGCCATTGTCCGGGTCATAGTCTAAGTTTCCTTCTACCGTTTGTTCCGTAAAGTTAGAGCTAGCTTCGTCGACAAGGAATCTTCTCATAATGTTTTGAACAAGTTGGTGAATTATATCCTCCACTTCAACAGAAGTAGGTTGGGACATTTCATTCACCTGTCAAGACATGCGACGCGATTCACTAAATGATTAGAAAGTAGCTAAAAGAAAAAGGGTAGATCTTTTGCAGTCTAATTTAAAAGCACCACTTTCAATTGCAAGTCGAAATCCAGTGATATCAATAGCCTATTCAGAAAGATAGTGATTTGTTCAAATTTTGCTATGCTCTAGTGCCATAGTAACCACTATTTGACAATACTTAGTTGATATAAATTAACCAGAATGTGAGAGGCATTACCCTATCAGGATCGAAAGAGCGAAGATATTCCAGTAAATTATTCCGAATTCCCCTGTCATGTTCTAATTGCATCATTTCTTGCTTCTGGGCATTCAGCTCCTGAAAGAAAATGAACATTCTCACATTAAATGCTTATAGCATAACGTTTATGATATACATGCTTAGGTTTAAGCTATTGCTATCACAAAAGATAAAATAAAGTCAACCTGTTTTCAAATAAGCTATAAGTTATTTTCATAAACTATTGTGAAGAGTTTAAGAAAATAAGCTTAAAGCAGCTTATACGTCAACCTGTTTTCAAATAAGCTATAAGCTATTTTCATAAACTATCCTGAAGAGTTTAAGAAAATAAGCTTAAAGCAGCTTATAGACATATCGCCAACCTGTTTTCAAATAAGCTATAAGCTATTTTCATAAACTATCCTGAAGAGTTTAAGAAAATAAGCTTAAAGCAGCTTATAGACATATCGCCAACCTGTTTTCAAATAAGCTATAAGCTATTTTCATAAACTATCCTGAAGAGTTTAAGAAAATAAACTTAAAGCAGCTTATAGACATATCGTCAACCTGTTTTCAAATAAGCTATGAGCTATTTTCATAAATTATCCTGAAGAGTTTAAGAAAATAAGCTTAAAGCAGCTTATAGACATATCATAAACCGTATCCATATGTTATCCCAAAGTTTAACAAAATGTGTAAAATACATAAGCTCAAAAAAGTCAATCCAACAACTGTTTCATCATCATACGAACAAAAAAGCGAACTAAACAAGAAAATTAAAAGAAGGTTTACCTCCTTCGTGTTGGACAACTCAGACTGCAACTGTTGAATGTATTTCAGAGCCTGGGGCGGCAAATCTCGAAAGACTCCTACGCCACTACTGTTGTTGCTGCAAGTTTCTGAATCGTTGAATCCTGAATCAGAAACAACCTTATTTTCCCCATGTTCTTCTCCTCCACCCTTGACCTCCAAACTCTCCAGAGGCGTTTCACACTCCGACACTCTATCCGCACAAGACATTTCCAGATTTCTTGTCAAGGACATCCTGTACTCCGCATTCCACAGCGTGTACCTAACAAAAACAACCAATTCAAAATTTATTAATTTCACACACAAACTCCAACTATGCAGAAAAAAAACAGAAACCAAACAGTTACAAAAATAGAGCAATTTAGCACTCTACAGTCTACGCTATCCTCACATTAATCCTCTAAAGATTTTAGGTATTACAAAATTAATCCTTCCCCGACCTTTCCAAAACACACAAATTGACACCAAAACACATAAGTCATGACACCAAGGGGATGCATTTGGTGTCATCTTAATTCTAATTTGGGGCAGCAATTCAAAATGGTGTATTGGTACACAACCGGTTGATTGCACTTGTCATAGAGCCCTTCCAGCACTGCTCCAGTGATCATTGCTCAAAGGCTGCCTTGCACCTATGAAAAGAATCTCGGGTAGCAGTGCAGCACGGGCGCGGGAAGCAGAAAGGACGTTATTTTAGTGACGCGGACGTTGATACAGTTAATAATAAACACATAATTGGTAAAAACTAAACTAAATTAAAATTTATGAAGTATTCATAGTAAGAAATAAAAGTCATAAGTTTTGAGCAAAACATATTTGCAAATGCCAATAAAATAAGCTTGCTAGCGTTACAAAACTAAGGCAACTATCGTTTACAGCTGACGGGTCGCTCTCAGCCACTTCAAGCCATATCATTCCAAATCAAATTCCATTATTATGGCCATTTCAGCCAAGTCACCCATCTGTGCCGGAACGGGGCAATCTGGCCCGATTTTCTTGGTTGTGTCATTCCGTGCCAAGATAACGGTCAAAATGGCCGAGTTTGATAACATAGCCTTGCATTATGTCTCTCATACTTTGCATTCCACAACATTACGCTCGAGCATCCCTCCACCCTTTCAGAGAATCCCTCCTATGTTTTTGTGATATTCACCGCAACCAATCCGAACATTGGCCTCGGCTAGCACCAACTCAAGGTGCCCCACCCTAAGCTTGGTCAAATAAACCCATTTTCCAACCAGTCTTGCCACTAAAGCCTCCCTAATCAGCCACTTGTGAACTGGTACCCAAAATCCATATTTTGTGCACATAGAGCACCTTGTGCACTGGTACCCGGAATCCATATTTTGTGCACATAGAGCACCTTAATTTGGGAATAATATTTTTGAATGGGACTAATTCATCAAAAATAATAATTAGAAGATACCCTAATGTTTTTTGAGTGCTAAATCGAGAGTTTTGGCTAGTCTTAGTATCCTCCTATGTTATTAATCTCAGATGGCGCCACATAGCACCGAGCCCCTAAAATGGGATAGCAAGATAGCCGTTATTGCAAAAACTAAAATCAATGTGAAAATTAAACATCAATACTCAAAAATAGAAAATGCACAAAATTAAAGAGACCTTCATACTTAATAATCTAAAGCAATAAAACTTAAACAGAGAAGAAAAACAAACATAAAAGAACTGAACCAAAAGTAAAACACATATCGATTGTTTGTGAGAAAAAACATAATGGAATGAAGAACATAATTTCACTCTTAAAAGTATCCAAATTGGCACTTATACCCTTAAAAATAGATGACGGTTTATAATGAGGCTTTGAGGAATTTCGCCCCTAAACCCTAATAGCGGTTTCGGCTGCAAATAGCGGAAGCTACGCCGACTATTATTGATGGCGATTCGCAGGCCAAAAGCGTCTCGCCTAACGCTAACACAGCTATGATATTATACTATAGCGCACCATTGACAAAATAGGTATCCTCCACACTCAACTGTAAAAACTAATCTGTTTGAGTCAGAGTTATCGATAGCAAGATATCGGCCTGGAGTGGTGACCCTCCGCTATTTGATGTTTAGCGGCCATTGTTTGATGTTTAGCAGGTAGCGGGAGCAGGGCGCTTCCCAGCCCGAGCAGGTTTGAACTGTTTTGAACGCCAAAACCCAGATTTACCCTTAAAATAAATAAATCCGGTTTTATTTTATATTTGTTTTTCATTACCTCTGGTTTTTTAAGTAATAGTCATTGAATAACTCTATTCCTCTTCTTCGCTTGGTTTTACATTAGATATATGTTTAATAAATTATTCATATAATTAGTGTAAAAAATAGTCAAATAGAGATTATCCCGCTATCCGCTATTGGTTTGAGTAACCATACTACGATTAAGAACAACTTCTCCCAAATGTTCAAACACCTAATCACATACGACTCGAGCTGCCTACCATTTGAACCACATCAATTTGGTGCAAAATCGAGAATTTTGGTGTTTCCTAGTATCCTCTCCATACTCAACTGCAAAAACTAATCCCTTCAAGATGTAAAGCACAATTGACAAGCGCCTCTCCCAAACGTCCGAACTTTTAATCAACTATCTGTATCAACTGCAAACACTAATCTCTCCAAGTATGAAAATCACAATTAACAATCACCTCTCCCAAATGTTCAAACTCCTAATCACCAGTCTAATACTTATTAAATCACACTCATCAAAAGTAATCTCTTCATTAAAATAACCACAAAAATATCGGAAAAAATGAAGGTGGTAATGACTAAGGTAGTTATAGTTACCCTGTGATGATGGAAGAAACAAGCAACCGATGAAGGGGCTGAATAGAAAGACTAACAGTAACATCAAAATGATCAGAAGGCAACAAACCAAGCATAGTCGAAATAGTTTGTTTCATAGAATCCTTAGCAGCGGTAGAAACACCTATAGATATAACGGAGTTATCGAGGGGTTTGATACGGCGAAGCATGTTAGCGATAACGGTAAAGCCTCTATCGAAACCTGAATTACGAGTCGAAACGACGTCGTCTCCGTCGACGTGGCAGGATATGAGAAAACGACGACGTTGACAGGAGCGGCGGAGGAAGAAGAGAGACGGAAGTTGGTTGGGTTTGGGGAGAGTGGATGGATAGAGTGATGGGTTGGTGATGCGTGAGAGGATGAACGGTTGAGATGAAATTGTTGACGCCATGTCGAATTTGATGAAGATGATGATGGAAGAAGAAGAAGAAAGTAACGATGGAATCTGTATCGTTACGAACGAAAAATAAAAACCTTCAACCTTAGCCTTGACATTAGCTTGTGTTTTTTGTTTTGTTTTGTTTTGTTTAGGTAAGTTGTATAGTATACAGTATTTCAATTTTCAACTCCAACCCACCTCGCCGGTTCAACCGGTTCAACTCAACCTAAACTTATTTGATCTTAAATTGTTCAATTATTTTTTAAATTAAAATTTGAGCATATACCTTCATTATAGTTGATTATTTTAATATTAAAAATTGAATATTATTGTGGGTCGATGATTTTTCTTAACACTTTTAACGTCACACGTATTTATTTTCTAAACAAAAATCAAAATACTTTAATTATCTAACAACTATGGTCGACAATATTAATATTTTTTACATTAAAATTAAAGGTGAGAATAGATTCAATCGAATTAGATTTTGTGAATTTTTTTAAAATAATTATTTTTTTCAAAAAAAACTTCTCAAATAATCACATAGGTGCATGCTCTTCCTTATTGCACATAGGCGTCATACTAGATGGCACATGTTCTCTTTATTGTACATAGGCGACATTCAACATGGCTTCTTGCTTTATGCATGCAAACCTGCAACGTAGCAGGGATCAGATGGCACGCATGTAAGTTTTGTTGTTCAATGACAAGCCACCTTAGGTGGCGCATGCATGCAAAAAAAAAGAGGATAAGTCAACCTAGGTGGCGCATGCATACATAGAGAGGAGAATAAGCCACCTAGGGTGGCGCATGCATGAGAAAATAGGAGGATTAGCCACCTAGGGTGGCGCATGCATGCAGAATATCAGTCTATTAATCGTCTGTGTAGGTTGCATTACTAGTATACATCCATAACTCACAAAACATACCTCAACAACATGGATCATTCACAAAATTATACTATTGTTGTCCATATTAACGGTGAGACGTTCAACTGCGATAACTTAGGTTTTAATTTCCGTAATACCGATTTTATCCACTTTTGGATAAACAAGAAATCCATTTTTGCATGCTTCAAAGATAGAGTAGAATCCAAATTGCAGTGTGGTACAGTTTACCAAATTCTTTACAAGTCCCCATTTCTATTTGACAACAACCAAGTCAAATTTTATCAACTTAAGGTGCGCGACGATGATGATGTTCGAAACATGTTTCGAACTCATGAACAATCCGGGTTCGATGAGATTGAGTTGTATGTTTTATTACAACAACCAGATCAATCTCAGGTGATAGATCCTTCTCAAGACTTTGAAGAAGAGGATGAATCTGACGAGGACAACCATCCTGAAGTCGATGTTATTGACCAAGAAGAAGAAGATGAAGAGGCAATGATTGATTTTATGGTCAATGATGACGCTGCAGATCAAGAGCATGAACCTATACCTGCAAGTCATGCGTATGACCCTCCATTTCACATGACGAACTTGAACTTGGGAGAAGATGAACCAGCCACGGATATCTTTCACGATCCTTATATGCAGACCGAAGGGGCCTTGAAAGTTGGAGACAAAATTCGAACAAAAGAAGAGTGTCTTAGAGCTATCAAAAAATACCACATGGAAATTTTAGCTGACTTCACTGTAGATAAAAATAATTCAGGGAGGTACGTTATTTTATGTCGTCAAAAACCAATTTGCCCTTTTCGGTTAACTGCATCTTACAGGAAGAGAGGTGATTCATGGGAAATAGGTTCCATTGATCCACTCCACACTTGCATCACCACCGTTCCGACACAGGATCATCGAAAACTTAGTTCTCAACTAATATGTCAAGAAATCTTGCCTCTTATTAGCAAAGATCCATCATTAAAGGTGGGTACAATTATTTCTCATATCACTACGAGATTCAATTATACTCCCTCTTACAGGAAGGCATGGATCGGGAGGACTAAGGCAGTTGAACTTGTGTACGGTAATTGGGAGGAATCGTACACAGAACTTCCAAGATTTTTGGTGGCACTCAAATATTATGCTCCGGGAACTGTTATAATTTTGGAGACAATTCCGGCTTTTACCCCAGACATAACTCGTGTTAGTGGGAATGGAATATTTCATCGATTAATCTGGGAGTTTGAACCATGCATCAAGGGTTTTGCATTTTGCAAACCTATTATACAGATCGATGGAACTTGGTTATACGGGAAGTATAAAGGAACATTACTCATGGTAGTGGCACAAGATGGGAACAGTAATGTTTTTCCGATTTCCTTCGCTCTAGTTGAAGGTGAGACAGGTGGTGCATGGAATTTCATTCTGAAGAATCTCCGATTACATGTTGCTCCACGACCTAACCTTTGTTTGATTTCAGACAGACATCTATCAATTGTGATTGCATGCAATAACCCTGATAACGGTTGGCAGGATCCCCCTTTGACACATGTTTATTGCATTAGACATATCACACAAAACTTCATGCTCCATATCAAAGACAAGACACTTCGAAAGAAAGTTATTAATGCAGGGTATGCCTTAACAAAACCGTGATTCCGATACTATCATGAAGAAATCTGGTTGGTAAAATCAGAAGCATTAAGGTGGATCGATAACATTCCAGTGAAGAAGTGGGCTCGGGCATTTGACAATGGTCAACGATGGGGCCACATGACAACAAATCTGGTGGAATCATTAAACTCTGTATTCAAAGGCATCTGAAACCTACCAATTAATTACTGCTTTGGTTAGAGCAACATATTTCAGAATGGGATCATTGTTTGACACAAGAAGTTCAAAATGGAGGGCAGTGTTATAATCAGGGCAGTTGTTCAGTGAATGCGTGATGAAAACATTTAACGAGGAGGCTGCAAAAGCAAACACCCATAGTGTCACCGTGTTTGACCGTATTAAAGGTTGGTTCAGTGTACAAGAGACACTGGATCATAATGAGGGGAGGCCATGGGGATATTATCGAGTCGAACTGGATAGAGGTTGGTGTGATTGCGGAAAGTTTCAAGCATTTCACATGCCTTGCTCTCATGTCATAGAGGCATGTTCGCTTGTTCGCTTGGACCCAATACAACATATATCCCCCGTGTACACGGTAAAGAGCATTTTAAGTGTGTACATTAATACCTTCTCCGTGTTGGCAAAGGAGGATTACTTGCCTTCTTATGAAGGGGACATTGTTTGGCACAATGAACAAATGCGATGGAAGAAAAAGGGGCGCCTGAAAAGCACTCGTATTAGAACTGAAATGGATACGACCAACAAAATGATAAGATTATGCGGTACATGTCATCTTCCCAGACACAATCGGAAAAATTGTCCGAATATTGGGTCTAGCTCTGCAACATAACTTTTTTATAGCAAACTATCTGGAGTGTTTAATTTGTTGTACACAATATATTTCAATTTAAATTTGAGTTATCATTTCATGTTCAATTTATCATTCGATTACAACAACTTTCACATCATGACACAAAAAATTACAACACCACATACTCAGGACAATAATACGACAATATGATAAACAAACAAAACAACTAAATAAATCATAATATCTAAGAGATAAAGACCATCAACACAATATCCTCTGGTCCAAGCATCATCATTATCATGACATCAGCGTTTCATTTCACCTTTTTCCATGATCGGCTTACTCCATTTTCGTTCCTCATTGAGATGTGCCTTTCTATTTTTCTGATTTGTTCACCTTCAGGAATGTCTCCTTCCAACCAGCGAATCAAGTGCCTCTGAAAATACTCGAACGTCTGTGTGTTCCAGAGTTTGATCTTCACCAGAGGCTTTGTCGCCAAAAAAATAACATGCGCATCTCTTTTGATCAGTGAAAACTTTGGCAAGGGAGTTGAAGATATTTTCTAAGAGTTATGTAACAAATGGTGTGGAAAATGAAGAGGATGGGTGATTGTATTTATAGAAATTTGCAATTACATTGTCAAGCCAATGAGGGTGGCGCCTCCTCTCAAAGACACATGCATGCGCCACACTGCATGACTTTATAGAGGAGGACAAGTCATGCAGTGTGGCGCCTCCTCTTTAAATTGAGTGCATGCGCCACACAGAGTAGCTACTCCTCTGTGTGGTGAAATTTTTTTGTTTGAAAAGTGGTCATTTTGGTAAAATTTTTGAAAATGTGATTATTTGGAATTTTTTTTTTGAAAAAAGTGATTATTTAAAAAAAAAATTAGATCTTGTTAAAAATATTAAAACCTAAATCTAATATATAATTTATTATAGATTTATTTTTAAGTATGAATCTAGCATTTACAAATGCTTGATTGGTTTAGCGTTTAAAAAAAACTTATTTTATTATATGTAAATAATTAATTAATGTTTATATAGATTAAAAATTAAAAGATACTCTATATAATACTAAAAGTTTGACTTGTCTAAGATTATCTAATTGCATAATTTTTGTGAAACTATTTATTTAAAAAAATGTATGAAAATGTACGAAAATATTTTATGACATTGTTTATAAGATATTTTTCAGGCTATTTTCATAAGTTTTTTAAGATAATTAAAATTTATTTTTGTATTTTAATTTAAATTATACTATATAATATAATAATAATAATAATAATAATAATAATAATAATAATAATAACAAAATTGTTCATGTTTATTTAAATACGTCAATGGAATAGGCTTATAAAATATTTTGCATGATATATGGGTTAATCTTTTTAATTTAATAGGCTTATGAAAAACTTAAGCATTTTCAATTTAAAAATATATATATGGTCTCTGACCTAAACATATGTAAACTATACCCTAAACTTTTGTTAATTAGTTTGTATATGAATTAAATATTTTCAATTGTATTCGAATTTTTACGTAATAATAAAAAAGATATATAACATTATTAGTTCAATATTTTTAATTGGGTTTTTATAAACAAAGAAATTTTTTAAGGAAGAGATTTAGTAAAAAAAATGAAAGTTGACTAAATGAATTTATGAAATTATGTTTAGACATGATCCCTAATAAAATGCT